GACAGGCGATACGGCCCCATCTAGGCCGGTGGAGTCCAGCACCCAGTCTTCAGCAACCAGTGAGACTGCGTCCTCCTCCAGGGCCATTATCACCACGACGATGACACCTGGGGAATCTACTGAAGGCAGCCCGGCATCCACCACCACTGTAGGGGGCGGCATGACGGATACCACCCCTGACGACAGTAGCACGACTAGCTCTCAGCCTATGGAGAGCACCAGCCTTTGGACCCCTACCTCGCCCAGCAGCATAGTGTCCACCTCTGGCCCGGGCACCACCGCGCCTCTGGCCACAACCATTGAGCCTGGCACTTTGTCTGCCAGGGTCCCAGTCAGCTCTACACTTTTATTTTCCGGTTCCGTGACCCCTTATGTTGTGAACACCACCACCAATGCTAATCCAAGTCCTCCTGGCAGCAATTCTACTGCGTTCCCCATTTCTTCTACTCTCCGCAGCACAGTTATTTTTACAACCTCGTCAAGGCCCACAACTATTGTGTCCCCCACCACCTCAGGTAAGGGTTCATAGGTGTTCTTCCTCAGAAATATGTGCTTTCGATATCCAAACCCAGCTGCTCTGCTTTTTTTGTTTTTTTTGTTTTGCATCTTTTAAAATCAATTCTCTGTGTTCTCTCTCCTTTTTGGGGGGAGGGGCCTTATTTGGGTCTAAAGTCCGTGCCGTTGCACTAAGTCTCATTTGGTTCCTTTTGTCATTTTAAATTTCCATGTTTGTTTGTTTTTTTGCTGTACTGGCATTGAACTGAGGACCTTGGGCTTTTGAGGCATGCACAGTGCCACTGAGCTAAATCCCCAGCCCTGTCATTTTATATTTCATAGAGAACCTCACTTATTTTCCCAGGCGCCCAGGTTGACCTTGAACTTGTGTTTTCCTGGGTCAGTGTCTCAGAATTCTTGGATCATTGATGTGCTTCCTTTTTAAAGTTTTCTCTGCTTAAAATCTCTGCATTCCTTTCATTGTATCAGTCAGATTTCTTTCTTTTTTCTTTTTTTAGATTTCTTTTCTATTTTGTGTATTGTTATCAACCTTGTCTTTGTCATGAAGATTACTACCTCTGTTGCTTGGGCATAGTCAATCCCAAGTCATCTGTCCCACATCCCATTTATCCTATTTTGTATTTGCAAGTTCAGTACTGCAGCCTTTTTAAGTCTATACTTTTTATTTGGATATTCAGATTTTTAGTGGTTTTTCCCCTTCATTGAGTTCATTCTGAGATGTGAAGGCTTGTATGTATGATTTTTTTCAGGGCCAGGGGATTTCTGTTGCTTTTAATTTATTTTTTTTTAAGTCAGGGCCTTCACACTGAGCTACATCCAAGTCCTTTTTTACTTTTTATTTTGACCCTGGATCTGGCTAAATCACTTGGTTATGTAATTTGCATAGAATCTTGTGATTGTGCCTTAGCCACCCAGAGTGCTAGGATTCCAGGTGTGCCTCACCATGCCCAGGCTTCTTTTGAAACATTAGTTACAGGTATCTTTTAAGTGCTCTGCCACCATTCACTTTTGTTTGATTTCATCTTATCCCTTGAGTCCTCACCATCAATCAGATAGCATTTTCTTCTCTCAGCTCTGAAGCCCCACTTCTTACCTCTGAGGGTTTCTCTGTCCTTATTTCTCCTATGTTTTCTCTGCCAGTACAGCTTTTCCTTGATTCTGTTTATACTGGTTAGTGTGAAATCTCGTTCTACTTATGTTCTCTGATTTCTCCCCAGTGTGTTTTTGTCTTGTTGAGCTCTCTGGTTCTCAGACAGGAGGTCTGAGGATCTTCAGAAGGTCTAGGCCTTTTGTTCCTGGAAAGCCCTAGTGTTAGTCTGTTCTGTGTTGCCATAACAGAATGCCTAAGGCTAATGGATACAGAAAAGAGGTTACATGGCTCATGATTCTGGTGGCTAGAACATCTGAATACCATGGTGCTTGTATTAGTTACCTTCCTATCCTTGGCAGAAAATACCAGACACCTGCCATTTAAAGGTTATTTGGCTTATGGTTCCCATGGGTTCAATCCATGGTTAGCTGGTTCCAAGGCAGAAACAGCATGGTAGAAGGACCTGGTGGAGGAGAGCTGCTCACTACATGGGAGTCAGGAAGCAAAGAGAGAAGGGAGGAACCAGGGACAAAAATACAGTCTTCCATGTCACACTCCAGTGACCAATCTCAGCGAGGCTCCAAATCCTAACAACACATTCAGTAATGAACTCATGAATGATTAATCCACTAATGCTATGATCAAGTCACCTTCCCAAATCCCCACCTCTGAACACATGAGGTTTTGGGGGAACATTGACTTAAACCACAACAATGCTGGAATATGGCAAGGGGCCTCTGGCTGCATTACAACATGGCAGATGAGTGGAAAGGAAAATGTACCCATGCAGAAGAGGCATGTGTGCCATCTAGGAAGGAAAAGAGTGGGGAGGGGATGGGGTCATTGAATAGGGTTATAAGACCCTAGAAGGAACGAGTCCACTCCTGTGAGGCCCTATCCATTCTATGAAACCAGCATTACTCATTCATGAAAGTGGGGTTCCCCGTGACCTAATGACCTTTCTTGGCTCCACTTCCTGAAGGTTCTACCACCTCAGCACCATCACACTGGGGCCAGGCTTCTCATATTCAAATCATATCCAAAGTGCAGCAGGTGTCTCACAAAAATGCCAGATGGCTGCGCCACTGCTAGGTCCACAATTGGCATTGGTCACTCCCTGAAGGCAGGTCACTGGTTCCTATTCCCCAGAGGTTGTCCTTCCCTTTAGGCTGTTGAGCAGTAGGTCAACACATCCCAGCAGCTGCTTTTGTAGCTTCTTGTCAGCTATTCTTGGGCACTTAGATTAGGCCTAGACATCCTCAGTAATGCCAGAGGGAGAGAGACAGGGAATGAGCTGATTTAGGATTTATGGGTTTCCCGTGTGCCCAGGACCCTTGGCTTATGTCATCCATGCTTCCTAAATCTCTTGGACCAAAGACCCATAAACAGTGGTTGCTTGATGCGATTGTCATGGCTGTGTCACCTGCTCCCTGAGACCAGAGGGCAGAGGTGTGGCACATCCTTGCAGCATGTACTCCTACCTATGTACCTCCCCAGACAAAACACACCTGGATTCTCATCTACACAGGTACAGCAGTTTTCAACAAAAGCCAAAGAGAATAGAGCATTGCATTTTCCTGGGTGATCAGCATGGTTAATCGAGTTTTCCATAACTACCTGCTGTCTCTGTAAACTCTCTCCACATCTCCCATGCAGGGAGATAAAACAGGAAGCCTAAACAGCCCTCAGAGCAACAAGGTCCAAGGCAGGCTCTTGTGAAGGAGACAGGGAGTGCTCATGTCCATCCTCGGCCTGGGTGCAGTCTCAGCGGGTCAGCTCCCCTGGCTTCTCTCAATCTCCGTCTCCTGTTTCCTCTCCCTTGGGCCTGCTGGTGGCGTTTACCTCGCACAACACCACAGTCCTCTTCACTCACAATTTTGGGCTGAAGTATTGCACGCTGGAGTCCAGGACTGGGTCAAGTCCACCTGGACGTGGACTCTGGCCAGGCCTCTCTCTGCCTCAGTCTTCCTGCCTGGGAAGTGGGGTGACACTCGCCGTCCTGTGCACCCAGGGTGTGGTGAGAACGTGTTTGGGAGCAGGTTTCGGGCTATGACGCGCTGTGCAATGCGTGTGTTCCAGTGAGCTGCCTCAATGGAGGGACGTGGACGGGTGAGGCCTGCGTCTGCCCCAACGGCTTCAAGGGCGATCGTTGTCAGTATGCGGACGCTGTCTGCAACAACGGAGGCTCCTGGGATGGCCTCAAGTGCCAATGTCCCACCCTCTTCTACGGACCAAAATGTGACTTTGTGGTGGACGGCACTGAGATGCGTGAGTGAGGCCCCGGGCCCTGCAGGGGACAGGACAGGAGGCCCAGGTCTCTGCCTTCACTCAGGGCAGGGCCACCGGGGGTGCAGGTTTTCTCGGTAGGGAGCTCAGGGAATGTTAGGTTAGTGAGTGCTGCTGCCCTCTGTCCCTCAGCTCTGCCGAAGATGGCCTCTGCCCTTGTGAACCTGACCATGACAGTGACCAGCAAGGAGTACAGTGATAAGCTACAGGACCGGTCTTCGAAAGAATTCAAGAATTTCAATGCCACATTCACAGAACAGGTAAGCCTGGGAAAGCAAGTCCCCGAGGCCACTGAGTTCCACCCAGGAAGGAGCCTTGAGGGGTTAATAAAGATGCTGGGCATGGTGGTGTATGCCTATAAACCCAGAACTTTGAGAGGCTGAGGCAGGAGGATCACAAATTTGTGTTCCACCTGGGCAATTTAATGGGGCCCTGTCTCAAATATGAATTGAAAAAGGGGGCAGCTCAGTGGTTCAGTCCCCAGTACCACATCCCCCCACACACAGAAGGCAGCTGAGGGCTGTGCTCTTGTTAGATGTGTATGAATATCTCAGTTCCCCAAGTCCTCAGGGTTTACCAGGGAGGCTGAGGGACCCCAGTGGGGGTGGCACCAGGGTAAGGCTGTGCCCAGGGAAGGGACTGTGCCACTGGGAGCTGAGGGTGAGGACAAGGCGGGTTTCTGTCCCCCAGAAAGGCCTACCAGGCCTCAAGGTGGGGCCTGCGGGATGATGCAGTGCCCCCTTGCCTTTCAGATGGATCTGATTTATGCCGGAATCCCTGAGTATGAAGGGGTCAACATCACGAGCCTGAGGTGAGTGTCTGGGGTGGACAGGAAAAGGTCTTTGGAGTGCAAGCAAGAGTCATAATGATAGAGGTCATTATAAGGATGCCACCTGCATTAGCCTTCGGGGGCCGCTGTGATGGACCACAGACTGGGACTTAGGTGACAGAAAGTTACGGCTCCCAGCCATTGCAGCCTGAAAGTCTGAGACCAGGGTGCCAGCAGGGTGGCTCTCCTGAGGCTTCTCTCCTTGGCTCAAATTCTCCATCCTCCTGCTTCGGCCTCCCAGAGTGCTGGGATCACAGGTATGTGCTGCCTCCACATTTCCTCTTTGTGCAACGATACCAGTTGAGTAGGATTAGTGTCCACCCCAACAGCCTCGTGTTGAAGGCTTCGTCTCCCAGGACAGTCACATTCTGAGGTTTGGGCATCAACATATGGACTGAGGGCAGGGACCCACAGCTGGGCCACTGACACCCCTCAGCTGTGGCTCCACAGGAATTTCCCATTGAGGGAGGCTGGCAGGGCTGTTCCCCTTGTGCAGATGGAGAAACTAAGGGCTCAGTTATGGAGTGGTACAGCCGAGGTTCAAGCAGAAACCCTGTTCTGCTGCGGACAGAAGGACAACCTAGAAAACTTGGCTGCTTCGGCATGAGGGAGGGACACCCCATCAGCCCCCAGAGACGAAGGCAGATGATGCGGCATGAGGAAGGAGACTTCCACGCCCTCCCCGACCTGCATTCACTTCCGCCCCCTGCCTGGGATTCTGCCCCCACTGCAGCTTCATGAGATCCTTTGAGTGGTGCTGGCTGACGAGGCCGGCATGGCCCCCAGCTGCCCCTTGGTCATGAGGAAAAGATCCCTTCTCCAGGGTTGTCAGACTCACAGTTAAGGAATTTACAGCTGACAGAAAACAGAAGAAAAGGCACAAAAACCAGTGAGCCCACCTGCCTGCATCTCCCCACCCTCCACTCCCAGCCTTCCAGGGACAGAGGGGTCCTTCTGGGCCCTCCCAGGCTTGCAGACCTGCAGGAGGCCAGGCAGCCTGCAGTTCTTCTGTCTGAGAACAGCGGCTTCCTTTCTGACCCAGACTCTTCCATCCAGGCCTGTCCTCCCCTGACCCCCGAAGGCCTCCCTCGTTTCCTGGGTGGAGGGGAGGCACTCATAGGGCTGGGCCTAGTCCTTCTCTGTCTGTCCCTCTGTCTCTCAGGAAAGGTAAGGAGTGGGCTCTCCAGGCACAGAGCCAGTGGCTTTACTGGCGTTCCTGCTCTCAGCAGGCTTTGAGGTGGCATTCCTGGCTGACCTTGAACCAGGTCCTCTCTGATCCCCACATGAACCCCGCAGCTGTCGGGCTCACGATAGTCTGTGGGGGTATCTACCCCACACCCTCAGGCCAGATGCAGGAAGGGCCGGGCTCTGAGGGCTCCACACCTTGGCTGGGTATGGTGGTGCATGCCTGTAATCCCAGCACTCTGGGAGGCCGAGGCAGAAGTTGGAACCTAGCCTGGGCAATTTAGCAACTTACCAAGACCTTGTCTCTAAATAAAAAATAAAAGGGGGCTGGGGATGTAGCTCAGTGCAAAGGCCCTGCGTTCACTCTCCAGGACTGCTTTAAAAGAAAAATAAAAAGGAAAGGAAAGTGATTTTTTGCCCAGTGGTGGCTCCAGGGAGGTCTGGGAGTGGGAACGGAGGAGAGAATCAGCCACCTGCACAACATGGGGACCAGCTGGAACCTTGGGCTCCAGCTCCTCAGCCGACAGGTGAAGCTGAGGCCCATGAGGCTCAGTGACTGCTGACATCACACTCTCTTCAGGGCCAGTGCCAGGACATCACCCGAAGTCCCAGCCCACTGCTTCTCTGGATAGGACAGCTGTATGTCCAGTCGGTCCCCCGTGTCTGTGGTTCCACATCTGTGGGGTCAACAAAGTGCAGACTGAAAATATTCTGGGGGGAAAAAGTGTGTCTGTACTGAACATATACAGACTTTCCCTTGTCATTAGTCCCTGCAGTATGGTATAACAGCTATTCACACAGCATCTGCATTGTATTAAGTGTTGTAAGGAATGTAGAGATGATTTATAGTATATGAGTGAAAGCCAGGTGTTGTGGCACACACCTGTAGTCCCAGTGACTTAGGAGGCTGAGACAGGAGGATTCCTCGAGCCCAGGAGTTTGAAGCCAGCCTGGGCAACACAGTGAGACTCCATTTAGATAGACAGATAGAATCACTTCTCGGCCTTTTGGCTAAGATCAAGTGTAGCTAGCTAGCTAGCTAGCTAGCTAGATTGCTATGGCACTCCCATGATCCAATCACTTCCCAAAGGGCCTGCCTGTAGACACCCAAGTCTTCTGAGGGTCATGGAAGATCTAAACCATAGCACAAGGCTCTGATGTGACCCCCTATCCCGAGGCCTCTCTCCATCTCATTGCTGAGCCTCCCAGGGTGCAGAGGGCACAGAGCCCACCTGGAGAAGGTTTGGGAAGGGTGAGCACCGGGGCTGACAAGGGACGAGACCCAACCATGCTGTTGCTCCCCGCAGGGCTGGCAGCGTAGTGGTGGAGCACAACATCATCCTGAAAACCAGTTACACTCTGGAGTACAAGCAGGTGCTGGAGAAGGCCTCCCAGCAGGTGGAGGAGAAGATCCTGAATGCAACCAAAGTGCAGATAACCAGCAGTAATAATACCTGCTCAGGTAAACCCGTGCTCCTGGGTGGACGCCAGAAACAATTTCATCTTTGTCACCCTGGGGCTCGGGAGGACAGAAAATCAGGGCAAGGTGGCAGGACCTGCAAGAGAAATGGGGGCAGGCCCAGGCTCTGCTGGAAAAGGACTAAGGCACTCACGACGCAGTCAATCTTCTAAACGTAGTGGGTGGTGTGGGGATCTCAACAGAAGACGCAGGGAGCCACAGGACACTTGAAGGGTCACAGTTCTTCAGAGCTGAACAGAGGCTGGCTTCCTGTCCCCCCAGACCCGCACCCTGCTTCCCCGAAAGCCTCAGCCCCTGAGGCTGCCAGGCTTGTCGTAAGGAGCTTCCTGTCTCCTTCACAGCCTACTTACTGTGTTTCAACTCAACTGCCACCGTGGTACAGAATGTCACCATTGTCCAGTATGATCCTGAACGTAGGTGCTGCGTGCAGTGCGGTTCGGGAAGGGCTGGGGAGCTGGGACACCCTGGAGGAACCCAGTGGAGTCCCCAGCTCCTGACCAAGGCTGCTCCTCTCATTTTCACAGAGGAATGCCGGGAAATGGCTGGCACCTATGCTGCCTACTTCACAGTGGAGTACAAGGACCAGCAGCCATACTGCATCACACCCTGCATGCCTGGGTTCAATGCTTCCCTGGACTGCCACTATGGCAAGTGCCAGCTGCAGCCCAGCGGCCCCCGGTGCAAGTGAGTGTCCCACCCTGGCCCCAGCACAGCCCCCACCCCCAGGCTCAGCCAGGTGCTGCCCACAGGCCAAGGTCACACGTCCCTGAGACTCCTGAATGCATCCAGCCAGCCGCAAGGGAATTGAAGTGAGGCTGGAGGAACCTGCACAGCCCAGCCCAAGGCCAGGTCTGGAGGAGCCCATGGGTGGCTCCAGAGCTACCCTCGCTAGAGTCCTCCTGTGCGGGCGAGGCTGAGGGCATGACAAGATCTGATGGAGCAGAAGGAAGAGCCCAGCCTCAGGGAGCTCCCAGGCCCTCAGGGAGGGGAGGGCCCCATCCCCGGGTGGGAGCCCCATTCCTAGCAGCAATACAGTGAAGGCGGCCACATGACTGCATGGGAAGTGGAGAACCTGCCAAGCCCGCCTCAGAGGGGAGACAGAAAGGCTTTGCCTGCTGAAAGTGAATTAGATGCAGTCACCAGCCGCCCAGCACCAGGGCTGGAAACGGGAGCCACACGGGCAGCGGCCTGAGTCACTATTCTGGGATCATTTCTTGCAGGAGGGGCTTCCGTGCTGGTCCAGGGAGGAAAGAACGGGGCTTAGACACCCGTGGGGCCGGGCCCCGGTCCAAGGCAGGTAGTGACTGTACTCTCCCTGCTTCCTCCTCTCCCTTCTCAGCTGCCTGATCACAGACACTCACTGGTACCAGGGGGAGACCTGCGAGTGGGGCATCCAGAAGAGCCTGGTGTATGGGCTCTCGGGCGCGGGGGCCGCCCTGGTGCTCCTGGTCCTGGTTGTCCTCCTGGTGTTTGCGCTGCACACCAAGAGAGTGGCGGAAAGGTGAGCCGCCCGCCCCACCCCTCTCTCCTGCAGGTCCTCCTCCTCCTCCTCCTCCCTCGGTGGCATCAGTCTCTCCATCCTGGGGTGGATGGTGGGAAGCTGAAAGCAGGGACATAGCTTGTCCCCCACTCCTTGTCCCTGTTCTCTGATCACAACGGGGTCTCTGGTGTTTCTGTAAACAGGCAAAAGTACAGAGTGTCGGAGTTGTACAAGTGGCACGAAGAGGGCAGCAGACCTGCCCCTGGGACCTTCGAGAACACTGGCTTTGAGATCTGTGAAGGTATGGGCAGCCCCCCCAGACTGGGTGGCTCGGGGTATGGGAACTCGCAGAAGAGGAACAGGGAGGGATGGCAGGGTTTAATAGTGGGAAGAGAAGTGTTCTTCCCATCTTCAAAGCATTTGGTGCCAACTAGGCATGGTGGTGCAGGCCTGTAATCTCAGCACTCTGGGAGGCTGAAGCAGGAAGGTCACAAGCATGAGCCCAGCCTGGGCAATTTAGAGACTTAGTGAGACCCTGTCTCAAAATGAAAAATGAACCAGGCTGGAGATGCAGCTCACCTCCTGCTGTGCACCTTGCTTCCTAGCAGACCCATATCGGTCTGTGGCACAGGGGTTGGGGATGCCTGACTTAGGTAGTCTGCCACATTTTCAGTTTCAGATAAAACTGGGTGGACCTTGAGGGAGAGGTAATGGTTCATCTTCCTAACTGTCTTGTCTCGCCCGGGCTTCCTCCTCCTCTAGAACAAGAACATTATGTGCAGCTGGACTCCTTCTACAGTAACTTCAAGCCCTCCCTGAACAACGTGGACCCCAAAATAAAGGTCAGAACAGCCGGAATGGCTTCCCTTCCCCTGAGCCCATATCTCCCTTCTGACCCTGGAGGATCTTCAGGAAAGCAAAGCTGCACTGATGCTCCATGGGTCCGGCCATTGTCCCTGGACCCTGCCAGGAAATTATTATAGCTCCAAGGAGGCTGAGCAAGGTGGAATCTGTCTTCCATAGACCCCTGGGGCTCCAGGCTCTGTGGTCTCTTTCTGCTCTTTAAATATGTCCTTGTCAATTGATCAATTTATTTCCATTTTTAACTACCCATCTAAGTAAAAATAATACTACAATGAATACTTATACACCACATCCAGATAGTGAAGTTTACAACGCCTATTTTCTTTTCACATCTGTCTATTCACATCTGCAAATATTGTGACAGTTGCCCCCTGACCTTTCTGCACATGCAGTGAATTGCCAATAATTCCATAACATCATCCAATATCCAATTTTTATAACTGACCTAAGAACCCCCGCCCCCCAGCAGTGTGGCTTGACTCCAGGCCCTTCGAATTGAGCTACAGCCTCAGCCCTTTTTTGAGACAGGGTCTCACTAATTCACCGAGTTGCACAGGCTGGGCTCCTGTGATTCTCCTGCCTCAGCCTCAAAGTGCTGAGATCACAGGTGTGCACGACACACCCAGCCTAAAGAATCTCTTGTAACTTTTTTTCATATGTGGATACAACAAGTTTCAGTCACTGACTTCTTAGGTCTTGTTTGGTCTCTCCATTTGGAACCAGCTCTGACTTTTAAAAACATACCATATTTTTGGCTAGGTGTGGTAGTGCATACCTGTGATCCCAGCACTGGGGAGACTGAAGCAGGGTTGCCACAAGTTTGAGGCCAGCCTCAACTACATAGTGAGACCCTGTCTCCAAAAACAAATAAAAATATATGGTATTTTTTTTTTGTACTGGGGATCAAACTCAGGACCTTGTGCTTGTGAGGCAGGCAGCAGAACCACTGAGTTAAATCCCTGAACCCTCTGAATTTTTTTTTTAAATATATGGTATTTTTAAGAGTCTACGATGGAACTGAGAAGTGTCCAGTACTCCAAGTTTGATTATTTCTTTGCGATGTCATTTAACGTGTCCCTAGTTCTCTATAATCTGAGGCTTGATTAGATTTGCCTTAAACATTTTTGCTATGTTGTAGGTAATGCTATTGCACCCCATAATGTCACATGATGACTAAGGCCAAGACTGGTCACTGGGGTAAAGGGTGGCCAGCCTTGATGACCACATTAAGATTTCCACTGACGGAATTTGAGGACAGAAGAAATACCAGTGTGCTTGGCTCCAGACACTGTACTCTCTAGACAGAGCCTTGGGGCAAAAGTGAGACCTCAGGCCGGGATGCCAAAGCCACTCCAGGTTCTAGAACAAGTTCTATGCAGAGCACTTCTCTAGGCCCAAACCTCTTAACCTCGAAAGCCCGGATTCCTCATGGGCCCAGCCCACAACCGGTCCTGTCTCTCTTTTCAGATCCAAATTCAGAGGCCCGAGGTGATAAAGACAGCGATGTGAGAAAACCTCAATCCGGCCACGCTTGGTGGAGCGTTTCCCCGTTGCAAGCTTCCCGCAGGAACTTCATGAGAAAAAGCCCTCTTTTTCAAGGAAGCCCTCTTGATTAAGGAAGAAGAGGACAGAGACAGTACGGAAGCTCCTGTTGCCATGATGTCGAGCGCAGCCCTCCCTTCGGCCTTGTTCAGCACCAAGGACAGCGCCCGGCCCCTGGGTGCCCCGGGACAGCTCAGCTGCTGGCCAGACTACACTGCATTCTGCCAAATGCTCTTCTCAGGACTGTTGCATACCGTGCTCGTGAATAGCATCTATTTAAAAACACACTACATTTATCTTTGAGTTTCTCAGATTATGAGTATTGTTAAACTTCTTATATTTATGGGTTCTGGTTTGTCATTAATAAATACCCTAATATATATTTATAATAATTAAAAACAAAAGCAACTTTGTTACACTGTGCATGGCTCTCAGACCTTTCTCCAGTCGCCACGCTGTACAGGACCGGGTGGGTGTCTCGCCTGCCGGGCTCTGTCCCCTCCTCTCTTTGGAATGTGGGCCCTGCGGCGCTTGTGCCTGGAGACGATTCAGGGAGTCCGCGGCCCCGGAGGGCTCCATCCCGGCCCTCCCAGCAGCAGCTGCTGCCCCCCCACCCCGGGTGTCCTGAGGCAGGACCTTGCCTGCTCACTCACACCAGGCGGGACTCGCTTCCCCATGAAGCACCGTGCTCTCCAAATTCTCCTTCTGGAATTGGGCTCATATTTCTTTCCATAGCACTAAAGAGACGGGGTCTTGGGTTTTAATTCCGACTTTCTCAGTTTCCCGGCTTCAATTTGGGTGAAATCATGCGACCCTTTGGATCCTGCCAGCCCTTCTGCCAGATAAGGACTAGATTGTTTCTAAAGACCCCCTTCATCGCTGTTATTACTTTCTAGTATACGTGCTGCCGAAGCGAGAACATCGGTGTTATTCTTAACGTTTTGGAGATGGCTTCTTATGATCCAGGCCAGGCCCCTCAGGAGGCGATTTGTACTGCGTGCACCCCCTGGCTTCCAGCCCGCTCTAAAACAGACCCCGGGCTCTGCTGCCCTCTCGTGGCCATGATGAGCATCTGCAGGCACCGGCAGCTTTCTGGCCATTGCTTCCTGACCTCCCAGGAGAAATGTTTCACCTACACTTGGTTCATCCCCACATTTATCGTCAAAATCCTCAGTCCTTAAAATTGGGCTGAATTCGGATGCCTTCACTTCGAGACATGGCTCCTCCGGGCTTGGTCATGGGAGGGAAGATTCTACAGCACGGCAGACCTGTCTGCAGCTGCCCATCTGGAACCCTCAGCCGCTTCCGGCTGTCTCCTCCCATCTGCTCACTGGAGGGTCCGGCTGAGCGTGGAGAAGCAACTTCCCTCTGGAGTTCTGTTTTCTCAGCTGCAAAATCCGAGGGAGCGCTCGCCACAGTGTACAAATGAGGGCAACTGAGGCAAAGACCCTTCCAGTAGCTAACCCAGCATCATGCAGCTAAGTGGGTGTGGAGGTGAGATTGCAAACCAGGGAGTCTGGGAGTCCGGCCCGCGTTCTCGACCATGAGTTGTGTGTCCCCCTGCCGGGTCCCTCCTGGGATTAACTGGGTGAGTGTGTATTCAGAGTGCCTGGGACAAGGCCAGGCGTGTAAAAAGTTCTGAAAAGAAAGGAAGGAAGGAAAAGGGGAAGGAGAGAAGAATGGAGAGAAAAAAGGAAACATCTAAGCAGTGTGATTGAAAAACTATAACAAATATTTAAAATTTTTAAATGTGTTATAAAGACACATTGTCATGAATCACCCTCAGAACTCCCCCCACAAACACGGACTCATCCCATTGTTCCTGCCGCTTTCTGAAGCAGCTCTGCAAGTCCTCTTTACTGAGTGTCTTTAGTTGAGCTGTGCTGGCTGCCTTGATGTCCTGAATCCATTCAAAACATTTTCCTCTCCAGGTCATTTTGACTTTTCGGAAGAGCCAGAAGTCACAAGGGGCCCAATTTGGGGAATAAGGTGGGTGAGGACACAGTGTCATATTTTTATGAGTTGCCTTTCCATTGCATGGTGCTGGGCAGCAGCACTCACTGTATTTTTTATCACACCTCATAAAGACACCCAAGAAAGAGGACACCCAGAACTGCTTCAGAAAGTGGCAGTGATGATGGGATAGGTGTGTTTGAAGCGGGGGTTGGGGTGAGTATTTTGAGGGGGATTCGTGGCACTGACTTCTACTGTAATAATTTTTGGGGGGTACTGGGAATGAACTCGGGACCTTGTGCTTGCGAGGCAGGCGCGGTGCCACTGAGCTAAATCCCCAGCCCTGTAATACATTTTTAAATTTCAACATTCACCATAGGATTTACTCACCTTCTGTGCAGCACCGACCCCCTTCTTCACTAGTCTCTCCCCAGCCTGTGCTCTCCGAGTCTCTTCTTCCCCTTCCTCCAGAAGCACAGCAGAGCCGTGGGCTGGGCTGGGGCAGAGGAAGATCCTGCCCCTCTGCAGAAACAGGGACACAAACACACAGATGCAGAGGCTGCTGGGGTAGACACGCTGAGGCCCACGCTGAGGCTGTCTGGAGGGCGAAAGGCAGAGCAGAAGTTGGGGGCCGCCCGTCCAGCCACCTCTGACTACTGCACCAGGGCTCCCATCACGTCCCGCTGGTGCCAGTGCCGCCGCTGCCAGGCCTGCTGATCTCTGCCTGGCCTCCAACTTGGGCCCAGCCTGTTGCGCCCCCCCGCCCCCCGCGCTCTCCCTGTACCTTGCCCTCCTGCAGGGTCCTTCTTCCCCAGGATCAGAGCGCTAACGCCCCTACCCTTCTGTTAAAGCAGACTCCACACTCCTCAGCATGGTTTTCAAAGTCCTGAACTGGGGCGCCATCTTTCCCTCCATCCCACACCCGCATTGCCGACCGCCCCCCCAGCAGCTCCTTCACCCTCACCTCCCCACATCTTTCCCTCTAGAACCTGACCATCCTTCAACTCCATTCCCACCTCCTCCAGGGAGCCCTCCAGGACAGGCCCCTTTACAATCAACCTGAGGGTGAGGACCCCGCTCCACCCCTCCATCCCCCACAGCACAGATGTCATGAATGCTCCTTAAACTTAATTGAATCAAGACTCAATCCTGGCAGTTTCTGTTTTTCCTCCCACGGCCGGCCGAGCCTCTCTCTGGAAGAGATCAAGCCAAAAGGAGCAGTCAGCAGGGCTTATTTCTCCCTCCCAGGGGGCCTCGGCTTTGAGAATAAACAGCCTCCTGCTCCTCCTCCTCCCCCTGCTCCTTCTCTGGGTCTCTTCAGGTCACCTGCAGTCACTGCAGACCCCGAGGGTGGGGTGTAGGAAATAAGCTATGACCAAGGCCCCTTGCCTACCCTCGGTGTGCAGAGAGGAGGGGTCATTTCCCAAAGCGTCTTGTAAACCTCGGATCTCTTTTGTCAGGTGACAACATGGTCTTTTGGACCACAGAGCGGCTCTCCAACTTAGAACCCAGGAGGCTGCGCTGGGCCTGATCATAGGGTTTTGCAGCTGATGGTGCTGGAGATGACTCTAGATTGTGTTTAATGACACCCCCACCTCGGGCACGCCTGATTCATCCGGGAGGATACAGCAGGTGTGTCGGGGGGAGAGCTGGTGGCTGACAACAGGTGAGGCTCACAGGGCAGCCAGGTAGCAGAGGAAATTTACTGCGTGTTGGAGCCAAGGAGAGTGGAACTGAACTTGGGTGATAATCAGCCTGATTAGCTCGAGCCTCTGTGGACAACGGCGGGGGCAGAATTGGGGAAGCAGGGCTGGAAGCCAGGTCCGCCAGCACCATGGTAGAGGCCCAGGAGCTGGGGCTTGCTGAGGTCAAGAGCAACTGGGACCCAGGAGAGGGCTGCAGCAGAAAACAAGTCAGGGCCCAGTCTTGCGGTGATGGTGGGTCCAGAGCAGGGGCCAGGCTTGAGGCTGGGGGCAGATAAATTCGACACAAGAGCCAGGGGAAGGCTTAGGGCGGAGCTGGCACCCCATGCCACTTCCTGCCTGGCACCCTGCCTGGCCGATAAAGTGCTCAAGATCTGCTCTCAGCAGCCCCCTCTAGGACCCCAGCCACCATCTTAGTGTGGCCACAAGGCCTTGTAGGGCAGCCACAGAAGTCCTGCCACTCTGGCTTCTGAGACACAGCTGCTGCCATGGGTAGACCAGAATCCAGGTATGTTTTTTCTGGGGAGGTACACAGGTAGGGGTACCCTCTGCAAAGACATGCCACACCTCTGGGTAGCATCTCCACACTCCCAAAACTGTCTTAGTCACAGGATGCTGGCAACCATCTGTGTGTCCTCTGCAGATGCCACGCCTGGTGCCAATCAATGCATCCACATGACTGCAGTTCCTCTATCCGAGCACCACCTTGCCGTGTTGTGCCCTGTGAGGGTGACAGGGGTGCAGTCCTTGGGCCACTGAGCAGGGCCTGTCAGCGGCTGGGGGCACTGTCACATAACCCCTGGTATCCAGCCTTGCAAATGCAATCACATCTCGAATATGCCGGGCATGGAAAGGGCCGAAAACACTGCATGATTTCATTTCTTCCTCATGAGGCAGCGTACAGATTGGGAGGGGGTGGCTTCCCTAGGGTACGGTTGCTCTGGGTGTGTTTGACTTCGAAGCCCACTGTGACAAGCAGCGCAAACAGACATGGCATTCTCTGCTCTCTCTCCTGGGTCTTCACCCGGTGACTCACAGTGACAGAGAAGGGCTCCCTGCTGGGGCAGCAGTGTCTCTCCCCCAAAGCACCGGAAGTGAAGCGTGCTCTCTGGGGACTCTCTAGCCCAGGGCTGAGCTAAGCCCTCCCCAGGAGGCTGCTGGCACTGTCGCAAGGGCTGCCTGTGTCACAGAGAACCAGGCTGAGAAGATCCAGCCTGGGATTTGGTCCTGTAAGTCAGCCTGGAGGGCCCCTTCCCTGATCTGATGCTCGAACAGCCAAGGATGTCACTGCTGGGACCTGGGGGCGGCTGAGCCTGGGGTCCTGAGCCGAGTCAGGATGTCCCCACACTCATTCTGTCCAACACTGGCCAGAGCCAGCCTTTACCATATTTCCTAGGGCTGAGGTGACAAAGAGCTACACGCTGAATGGGCGAGGTAACAGAAATGTCTCTCACAGTTCTGGGGGCCAGAGATCCAAGACCAAGGTACGGGCAACGTGAGTTCCTTCTGAGGGCTGTGGGGGAATCCGCTTGGCCCCTTCCAGCTTCCGGTGTTTTGCTGGCCATCACCTGTGTCCCCTGGCTCCCAGGCACATGGTAGCCCCTGCATGTGTGGCTGTCCAAACTTTCCCCTTTCTATAAGGACCCCTTTCCTATTGGAAGAAGGGTCCAGGCCCAGGGATTTAGCTCAGTGGTTCCACTGCCTGCCTTGCAAGTGCAAGGTCCTGAGTTCAATCCCTGGTACCAAAAAAAAAGAAGGGTCCAGCTGGGCACTGTGGGACAGGCCCATAATTCTAATACTCTACCAGGGTGAGGCAAGAGGGCTGCAAGTTTTTAAATCCAGTTAGGGCAACTTTGTGATTTAGCAAGATCCTGTCTCAAAAAAAAAAGTATAGCTAGTAGTCATTACTTTAAATCCAGGTGTGGTGGCACACGCCTGTGATCCCACCACTTGAGAGGCTGAGGCAGGAGGATCTCTGCGAGTTTGAGGCCAGCCTGGGCTACATAGTGAGTACAAGCCAGCCAGATCTACAAAGTGAGACCTTGTCTCAAAAACAAACAAACAAACAAAAATAGTCATTAGTTTAAATTAACTAAAATTAAAATTAAATTTAAATTAGTTTATTAATTATTCTACTTCCTGGTTAAGCTGAAGATAAAGACTTCCTCAAGAGAAAGATAAAAAAGGAGGAACTGAGATATTTTTGCCACTTTTTATTAGCATATGTTTACAATACATAATCAATATATTTATCATGGGAAATTGGTATCTATACAAATTGCATCTTGATCCTTTTTTCTTCCCCTTTGGAAACTGAGATCTCGAAGACCAAAAAAAATCTTTAAGGCAAAAAGCAACATAACAATACAATGGATTGATTGACGTTAATATCTGATACCAGCATTGTGGTAAAAAAAAATTCAGTTTCCTGGAAAAATACAAAATAGAATAATTCTAACTTGTACAATTTATTTATTTATTTATTTAGGTACCGGGGATCGAACTCAGAACCTTGCACTTGTGAGGCAGGCAGCAGAGCCACTGAGCTAAATCCCCGGCCCTAACCATGTACAATTTACAAATAGCTTAAAATATACCCAAAGCATTAACTGGCAGAATTACAAAAAGAAATGGACGCTTTTGAAATATTCACATGGATTAGAGATTTATTTTTTTTTGTTTTTGAGATAGGGTCTCCCTATGCAGCCCAGGTTGGTCTCAAACTTTCTAATCCTCCTGCCTCAGCCTCCCGAGTGCTGGGATTACAAGTGTGCATCACCACATCCAATTGCGACTGAGCAGAAAAACCAATGGCATTGAGAATACCGAGGAACTGAATGAGCCAAGTGTGAGCCGGAGAAGTGTGCGGGAGGACAGCCCTCGATGGGAGCCAGGTCCAGGGAGCCATCTGCTCTGAAATGAGAGCTGGGAAGCGCCGTATAGACAGATGGCTGAGTGCGCTTCTCATGCAGAAGTTTAGTCCCCACTGGAAGGTCACAAGAGGGTGAAACTGGATCCGACATGGGGTTTGGAGGTAGAGCCCTGGGGTGGTCAGGGTCCACGGGGTGGGATGCCTGCAGCTGAATTCTGGAGGCTCCATAGGAAGCGAGAGACAGAAAGATCTATGCCTGTGTTCTCTACTAGCTACAAAGCCTCCACCGGCCGCAGCCCCTCCACCTTGGATCTCCACAACCCAGGGCCCAAATTAAACCCTTTTTCTCTATAGAGTCCCCACCCTCAGCTATTCTGTGACAGTAACAAAGCAGAGGGACACACCGTCTTCCAGAGGGTCCAGCGTCACTCAGGGCAGCAGCACCGGGTGATGGCCCAGCGAGGCAAATGGACGGGGAGCTCTGAACAGGCCCGGATGTCCTGGGCCAGGATGATGGGCGAAGCAGAAGGGCAGCCAGGGAGGAGGAAGGGGACGCCATGCCAAGGAGGAGTGGGCACTCAGGACCGGCCTGCTCTGGGTTTAGTGAGGGAAGGAGAGAGGCAAGACGGGGCGGGGGGGGGGCGGGGGGCGGGACAGAAGCCGGGTCCTGGAGCGGCTGGGAGGGCGAGGCCCGCGGCGGGCCAGCCACCGACGCCCGAGGGAAATCCCGTCCCCAGGACTGGGACCTTGTCTTCCTCATGCATTTTTGCAGACATTCAATTTTTTAAAACGTCGCATTGAAACACACTCATTATGAGCACATCCATTAAAATGTGTGGACGGCCGAGCTTTCGTACCTGGAATCCTGGTGGAGCAAGCAGGAAAAGGAGGGTTTCCCAGAAGAGAGGGAGGTGGAGGGTGGGTCGGGGGCTGGCAGCCTGCAGGGACCTCTGACGACTGACAGGAGCACCCGGGCTGACAGAGGGCTCATGGGCTCCTGTCTGGGTACCACCCTTACCTCCCCGCTCTCTCCTGCTGCGGGGCACGCGGGGCCATGGAGTCGTCTTGAAATTTTGTTATTTCTTTGTTTTGAGACAGAGTCTCACTATGTAGTTCAGGCTGGCCTCGAGCTCACAGCGCTCCTCTTGCCTCAGCCTCCTGATTGCTGGGGTTACAGGCCTGCGCCGCCACGCCTGCTGTCCTGGAATCTTTCAGGAGCCACCACAAGCAGGGCTGGGGCGAGGGGCCGTGCAGGAGCCCCGCGCGCGCAGGAGAGCAATTCTGAAATTAGCCGGGAGAACTGGCTAAGGAGGAAGAGACAGGGGAAGCGGCAGTTGCCATGGCAACGTGGCGGTTTGCTAGCTGAAAAGCTGTGAATCCCAGAGGAGGGACAGAAACCAGGACCCTCTGGGGCTTAGAGACGTAGGGAGGTGGTTTCTACGGGTGACGGGGCCATTGACCAGTTCCGGGAGCAGGCCCGGCGCGTTTGCGGGTCGCAGCGCGCCCTCTGGTGGGCAAAGGTGGTAAAAACAGCTCTAGGAGGACCACGGAGTCCTGCGGTCTGCGGACTGAGGCTGCGGAGCCTGTAGCGGAAGAGGAAGAGAAGCCCGTGGGCAGAGGGGAGTGGAAGAGGAGGAGGGGGCGTCGTCCTGAAGAGCAAAGAGTTTTGAGACGAGCGTGATCACAATATCAAATGTCAGCGAGGTCGAGGAGAGTAAAAGGAAAAGTGGTTACTGTGGCCCCGGGACTCTAGGAGGCTGAAGCAGGGGCATCGCAAGTTTGATCCCAGCCTGGGCAACATAAAGACCTAGCAAGATCCTATCTCAAAATTTTTAAAAGGGCTGGGGATGTAGCTCAGTGTAAAGGGCCTGGGTTTTTAATCTAAGAGCTGAATCACCCCTTTGTCCAGCCGTTTGTGATACACCCCGTTGTGTATCCAAGCTGTATACGAGGTATAGTCGAAATACATGGTGAAGGTTTAAATTTTTAAAAAATGTATTGAAGCTGGGCTTGGTGGCCGTAACCCTAGCACTTGGGGGGCTGAGGCAGGAGGATGGCCAGGAGTTTGAGGCTAGCCTGGGCTGGATATCAAGACCCTGTCTCAAAAAAAAAGAAAAGGAAAAAAATGTACTGAAGAAGATACATCACCATGAATCCCCCTCGAAATAATCTCCTGCCCTTCCAGCATGCTTACCCATCATTTTTGCCACTTTCTGCACCAGCTCTGTCTTTATGGGGTGTGATAAAAAATGGAAGGGCCAGGGATTTAGCTCAGTAGTTCCGCTGCCTGCCTCGCAAGCTCAAGGACCCAAGTTCGATCCCCGGTACCAAAAAAAAAGCAAAACAAAAAACAAAAATATGCAGTGCATGCTGCTGCCAAGCACATCTAACAGAAAGGCAGGCTCGTAAAAACATTACTGTGTGTCCTCATTCACCTTATTCACCGGATCTGGCACCATGCTGCTTCTGGCTCTTCCCCAAAGTTCAAATGACTATGAAAGGGAAATGTTTTGAATCAATTCAGGACATCGAGACAGCCAGGACAGCTCAACGTACCACTTAGCAGCCAGCTGGGTTATCAGATCCGCGGTTGCAACACTGCAGTGCTGCATTCAGTGTCCATTGCCCAGGAGCCAGCCCATCAGCTCCCTGCGGGTCACCACAAGCACACTGTAGCATCATCGTGAGAAGGAGGAGGGACACAGAAGACCTTTCGAGAGAGGAAGAGAAAACATCACATAATGTATATTACAGTATATACAGTTATAATTGTTACATTTTTAATTATTGTTAATCTTTTCCTGTGCTAAATTTATAAATTAAATTTTATCATAGATTTGTATGTATAGCAAAAATAGTATACATAGCATTCGGTTTAGTGCTATACTCAGTTTTAGGTGTGGAATTGTAGGGGCTGTGGAATGGGTGATTATTGTAGTTTCAGCTAGGCAGGAGGAAATGTTTTTGAGATCTATTGCATAGCATGGTGACTCAATGAATAATAATATACTGTATAACTGAAAATCACTAAGAGGGTAGATTCAGTCTGCATATACACACAAAGATGAATTTTTATTTGTTTTGAGATAGCCAGCCTTGAACTCATTGTGCAGCCCAGGCTGGCCTCAAACTCTCTGAGATTCTCCTGCCTCAGCCTCCCAAGTGCTGAGATTACAGATATATGCCACCACATCTGGCTACAAAGGTGAATTTTTGAGATGATGGATATGTTCATTCACTTGATTTAATCATCCCATTATGTATCCAGAGATCAAAATATCATGTTGTGCCCTATAAATATAAATAATTATGATTTGTCAGTTAAAATAAATAAAATGGAAAGTGAGAAAAAGATTAAGAGGCATTATCACTTAATAAACTGAGGAACACCTGGCTTGGCGTGAAGCAGATTCTTGTCAGTGAAGCAGATTCTGATCTAAAAGCTAGTCAGTCAATAATCTAGACACTGCCCTGTGGACTGAAGGTCAAAGACACACCTGACGGGTTCCCGCCAGAGACAGGAAGCGACTACTAAAAATAGAACCCGGTCCTGGGCCAGAACTCCTCCACGGAAGAGAAACCAACTCAGGCCGCTGCATCCTGCTTTTCTCTATTCTTTCATTTTCCCTTTCCCCTCCCTCTACTCTCCATGAAAAAACAAAACAAAAGAAAATACAACTGGTGTTTATGCACAAGTCCTGCTTTATTTATTTATTTTATTGTTTTCATCAACATCAAGTGGAGAAGCAGTAGAGAGAAATCCATTCCTATGAAAACATCCCCTGCTGCATCCGGGACATCCCTGTTCATCCTCATCTTTATATACCAACATATTGGCCAAAACAAACAACAGGTATGAAAGGATTCCTGCGGATTGTGTTTGGAGAATTTCAGTATTTTTAAAAATTTGTCATTGTTGGGCTGGGGATTTAGCTCAATGGCTATGGCGCCTGCCTTGCAAGAGGAAGGACCTGAGTTCGATCCCCAGTACCAAAAAAAAAAAGAAAGAAAGAAAAAGTTTTGTCATTGTGAAAGGACAATTTTCAAAACTTTTTTTTTATATAGCTGCTATGAGTAGGGTAATTTTGTGTTTAAGTGGTGATAAACTATTTTAAAAGAAATGGGTCTTTTCTCTGCCAGTCTAGCATCTTGCTGTTCAAATAAATTTCTTATTTAAAATTTTTCTAAAAATCAAGTGCAAAAAAAAGAGACATCCCCAGATAAGCACAAACTGAAGGAATCTGTTGCTGGTAGATCTATCCTGCGAAGAAGACAGGAGGAAAATCCTTCATGTTGCAGATGAAGAAAGCGCGATGGTAGCTTGCAACACAGGAAGGTGTGAAGACTACTGGAAATGATAAATATGGAGGTAACTACGTATCTTGTCTTCTATATCTTTTCTTCACTCAATTTTTTTTTTGAGACAGGGTCTCACTATGTAGTTCAGGCTGGTCTTCAGCTTACTGTAGAGTATCCCAGCGTGGCCTGGAACTCACAGCAGTCCTCCTGCCTCAGCCTCCTGAATGCTGGGATTACAGGCATGTGCCACCACACCTGGCAACTTGTTATTCTTTTTTTCCTTTGGCTTTTTGAGATAAGGTTTCACTATGTAGTTCAAGTTGCCTTGAACTCACTATGTATAGCACCATGATAAGTATGTGCCACCATGTCTGGCTCCTCAATTTCTTTACAAATGACATTATTTAAACCATTATTACAATGCTGTATTGTTTGGGTTTTAACATATACATGTAGCCCAGCATGGTGGCACACGGCTGTGATTCCAACACTTGAGAGGCTGAGGCAGGAGGATTGCTGTGAGTTCGAGGGCAGCCGGGCTACATAGTTAGCTCAAGGCCAGCCTGAACTACAAAGTGAGATCTTGTCTCAAAAAAACAAACAAATAAACAAACAAACATATATGTGTTATATATTTAACAAAAATAGCAAAAGGATAGGGAGGAAATAATGCTCTACTGGAATATCTTTATTGTATTTAAATCAATATTAACCTGAAATCAGTTCTGATAAGTGAAAATGACTAATATAAAATCAATAATCTAAGCTGCCACCTTAAGAAGCCCAAAACAGGCCAGGGATTTAGCTCAGTGGTTCCACTGCCAGCTTTGCAAGCCCAAGGTCCCGATTTCGATCCCTGGTACCAATAAACCAACCAACAAACAAACATAAGAAGCCCAAAACAAGAGCAACTAACACCCAAATCAAGTAGAAAAAAGAAACTTTACAAATCAGAGTGGGGGAGCCAGGGATGTAGCTCAGCAGCACAGCGCCTGCCTGGCAACTGTGAGGTCCTGAGTTCAATCCCCGGTACACACAAAAAAGATAAGAGTCGGACTCATGGAAATAGAAAATAGAAAAGCAATAGAGAAAAATCAACCCAATCCAAGTTGGTTTTTTGAAAAGATCAATTTATAAATATTAATAAAAATCCTAAAATCTTTTCTTGTCTCTTCTCTCGGACTCTCCCCTCCTCTTATCTTCTCTTCTCTTTTTTCCTGGCTCAGGGTCTCAATATTTCAGGCTGGCCTTGAACTTACTATGTAGCCCAGACTGACCTCAAACTCACAGAAGTCTTCCTGCCCCAGCCTCCCAAGGGTTGGAATTGAAGGCATGGGCCACCATTCCCAGTTTCTTTATTTTCTATAAGGTTTTCAAATACTATGCAAATCCATGGATCTTTAGCAAGGCTGATCAAGAAGAAGAGAAGACATAGATTACCAAAATCAGCAATGACAGAGTAGAAATCATTACAGACCCTAAATAATTAAAGGGGTTATAGTGAGTATTATGAAGGCTTTCATGCCAACAAATCAAACAATTCAGACAAAAGAGACAACTTCCTGTCAACATACAAATTTCTATAATTATCTTCATTAAGAAAGTTTGAGCCATGCATGGTGGCATACACCTGTAACCCCAATATTATAGATAGCTGAGTTAGTTAAAATATTATAGGCAGTCAGACAGGGCTGGGCCTTCGGAGTCAATGCAGAAGATAAGAACATACTACAACTGTGGCTGGAGGCCCATTCCTTGAAGGTTAGGCTTCAAGACAAGGAGAAATGACTACATGCACATATTTCCCGTAGGGACGAATGGCAGTGATATGTTCTAAATAGGCATCAATCACTTTTGGTGGGGGACCAAAACCTCCCTAGCCCACTCCTTCCCAGAAAATCCTTGTTCCTTCCATGTATGCTTGCTTTGTGACTTGCTTCCCCATTTTGTCTCCATTTAATTAATATTATGTAGGCAACTACACTTACAATCTTTTTGGTTGACCACAGTTTTGTCCCACCTCATACCCACCTTGTGATCTTCTACTGGATCAATAATACCTAAGTGACCATGCTTGTAATCTTATTAGTTGACTATAGTTTTGCCCCTACTTACACCTACCTCACCTCATGGTTTTGCTCTATAAAACTCCCTTGAGAGTCAGGGTCCTCAGGCAACCTGCTTTCCGGGTTCCTGTCTGTCTCTCTTAGACAGAATCTATCTTTCCTTCAATAACTATTTCCTACTCTTAACCTCCATTGTTTCTAGAATTCATTCTTCAGTTTTAGAGAACATGAACTCGATGTATCACATACCTAACAGGTTGGTAGTTTTAATATTTCCTTTATAGCATTTAGAGGTCCTATATTATACCTATATCATAGGCTCTATGTCATTTTGGAGGTCCCACCGAGATAACTGGGTGGAGGATTTGCTTTTGTCTCATAGATTCTGGATTGTTCTTTTTTTCAGTTAATTAAGTTTATTGGTACATTTTAGGTTTACATAATGATCACATTTATTATAGGGAATTTATACCTGTACATGTATCTTGATTCTTATTTTTCCCATTCCTCTTCCCTCTCGTCAACCCCTCTTCCCCTCCTCATTTATAAAAGCTTTGTTTCCATTTTTTCCTTCTTTTCTCATTTTTTTCCTTTACCTTCCTTCCTTTCCTCCAACCTACTCCCTACTTCCCCAACCCATTTGAACATTTTCTTCCTATTTCACAATGTCTGTTATACATTTTGGTCCTCATTTACACTTTCAGTCTCTCACAGCAGAGAAACAATACAGTATTTACACATGTGTGTCCAATTTATTTCACTTAAGAGTATAGTCTCAAGGTGCATCCATTTAGCTATAAATGTCTCAAGTTTATCTTTCTTTATGGCTTTATGGCTCTATTGTATAAAAAATCCACAATAGATTCTGGATTGTGACTCACTTAGGTAATCATCCTTAAATTGTCATCCTTAAATTTTATGCCTTGTCTTTGTTAATTACTCATGCCTTGAATTTTTATGCCTTGTTTCTTTTATGCATTGTCCTTTGTTAAAACTATGGTAAATTTAAGTTGAGAACATGGGAGAGTATGTGCCATCAAAAGAAGTGACATTTTGTTTTTGTTTGGTATCTGTTGCATTTGGACTTTGTTGCTAAATTTACCAGTATTCCTTGTTTGACCTGTTTGACGCTATTAAACAACAGCGCTAGGAAGAGTAATGCTAGTGCGCCCCCTAGTGGACTTTAATATAAAATTCTGTAAAATGGATATTTTTATGAAATCTAGTTCATATTTATAAATATATATGCCTATTAATAAATCATGGGACCTCCTTCTTCCAATTAAAAGGCGATAGGCGGGCAGCCATTCTTAAGACTTGAGGGACAGGTTTCACTGGGACAAAGTGGTCCCAATCACCTCTCTACACCCTAGAGGGAATGTTGAGCTTGTTTTGCCTCAGTTTCTTTTCTGGTCTAATCTTCTACTGGTGAGGAGGCAATCTTGGCTCTTGATATTCCCCATTCTCACCTTTCCAGGCTGAGAGTGAGGGCTCATAAGCAAGTTGTCTCAATAACTCACCGTGAACTTGAGAAGAAAAGATTTCCTTTTCCTGATCTCATTTCTGATCTTTCCCTGCCACTTTATACTCTCCTTTTTTTGGAGGTATGTAAGATTAGAGAGAGAGGAACTCTGAACTTCCCCAGCCTTTTCCTCCTACCCAACAACTAAGAACCTTCAAGTTGAGCCCATAGAAAATGAGCGTTTGTTAACATTAAAGACAAGGAAGTCATCTTAGGTGAAGACACCTCAGGCTTTTATCTGCTCCTTATAGACTCCAACAATCATTTGGATCCCTTTCTGAAGATGAATCTCTGCTTGCATGGAACCACTGAAAGCTGAGAGAACAACTGACGGTCATGGTCAGGGCAACTCTCTGGTGGATACTCAAAGGTTCCCCAGTGGAAACGGGGTCCCAACAGCCTGACTGGGTAACCAGCAGAAAAATCTCCACTTATGCATCATCCCTGCCTGCACTCCTCAGTGAGGTGAGAGGTAACTCTCTCAGCAATCTTCTGGTATCCTCTGTCCCAGAGTGACCAGAGATAACACTGTTAGAGCCCTCTGTTAAACCTCCATTAAGAATTGAGCCACAGGTTTGGACTTTTCCTCTCTGCTAGTAAGTTAGAAACTCCCCCTAAGCTTTTCTCCAACATGTTGGGAGTTAACTTTAGAACTACCTTATAGTTAGACTGCCCCTCCCTCCAGGAAGTCAGGCTGAGGCAGCTTACAACAACTGTTTGTCTTTCAGGGAGGAGAAAAGCTATCATCTAGTGATTTACACTTACGCCCTGTATATACTAACTACAATAAAAAAGAGATTTTTCTCTTCTTTCATGTGTGTGTAGAAAATTGATAAAGGTGCCTTTACTAGCATGTGAATTGTGGTTGCCAGGCAAAGGATATAAACTTAACCTGTGAGCTTCAGAGACATAGAAATTTTAGGGTGAATTTTGAATAAAATTTAGCCTCATCTTGCTGCCAAGGGAGATTGCCTAGGTGATTAGGTAGATAACTTGACTCTATTTGTCTGTAAAAGTGATTTTATTTGCAGGCTGGGAGCTGCTCCAGTCATTTTCAAATTGCCTTCACTCTCTTTCAAAGAATTGGAAAGCAGTAGTTTAGATCTCTTGATTATTGGTTTTGTTAGCAATGCTTCCTTCTTTAAACATGACTCTTACAGCTGAAATCAATTGTACCTTATGCTTTTAAAAAACACCTGCTAGAGTTAAAAAGGGTCGTGAGCCAGTAAGGGTGGCTAGTCTGATCCCGATCTATCTTCTGTCCTCCAGACAACAGCTACCTGCTCTGGAGCTAGTCACTTCGGGGGACACTTTGAGGATACAGAAATCAAGTAGAAATTAAAGGGACACCAATTCTTTCTCCTATATTCTCAGATGGGATACTCAATATCAAAATCTTACTCCTTTAGAATATATTCTTAAGCGCCAGAGAATATTTGACTCTTACATGTTAAAGAAGAGATTTCTCTGCACCCACATATGCCCTGCCAACCCTCAGAGCCACAATGGAATGCAGAGGGAAGTATTGATCATGATGCTATTTCACAACTAGAATCATACTGCAAGAAAGAGGGAAAATGCCTTATGTTCAGAATTGCCTTACGTTCAGACTTTCTTTGCATTAAGAAATAATCCTTTCTTGTGTTCAAAATGTAAATATAAGCCAAAGGAAAACCAGACACCTCTGGCCCTTAAGGCATCCATTATCACTAAGCCTGAGGCTACTCTTCCTTGGCCTTTGGAACTAAGGATGAGGTTTCCAAGGCAACTTTAATCAAAGCCTTGCCCACTATTATTGAACTGAGTCTGAGGCTGCCTTTATTTGCCCTTCAGGTGCTGAGGGTGGAGCTTTTAGGCCAGCTGTAATTGAAGCCTTTATGGGGCTATTTCCATCCTTAGCTAATTTTGTCCAAGCCCCTCCAGGACAATATCCCTTACAGGAAATAAATGGCACACATGAGACTACTTGCATTCATGTGCCCTTTTCCCTCATGACCTAAAACAGATCAAATGGGCTCTAGGAAAGTTTTCAGACAACCCTAATAAGTACATTGAGGCCTTTGGAGGACTTACCCAGGCCTATGATCTAGACTGGAAAGATGTAATGTTATGCTTAAATCAAACATTGACTTCTAATGAGAGACAACGGGTACAGACTTTAATCTGTGAGTTTCTTAAGTATATTACAGATTCCTGGGGATATATATATATTCAGAGTAGGTTTAAGTAGAGCCTAACCAACATGGCTATGGAAAGAAGTTACGTAGATGACTAGATAGAGAACGCAAAATGTCCCAATGACCTCTTTGTCCTAGGGGTGAGATTTCTTCTGGACTATTACCTGTCTCTGTCTGTCCCTGGGGGTGATGCATCTCTTTTGCAGTCTGGGATTTTAGAGCTTCTTAATTCAGTCATTTCTTATAAAAGCCCTAAACAAAATAGTTGGAGCACTTTCATTTTCTCTGTCACTCTCTTTCAAGAGGTTAAAATGCAGTCATGCAGGTTCTTCGATTATTGGTTTAATTTTCTGCTTGGCAACACAGTTGGAGTCAACCATAGCTTTTGTCTCTGAAGGCATGTTTTGCTAAGGATTAGAGATCCACTCTTGGAAAGCTCTTGATCTTAATTGTCTTTCTGCACTTGAGTTGGTTTGGATTTAGTTCTTGTGGCATACTTAGAGTCACTCTTCTGTCCCTTCTCTACTGCCCTGCCCCTGAGAAATAACACAGTTTGCAACAGTGTTTGGTTGAAAGCAATTCTCTCCTCTGTGGCTGCTGGATTTCAGGGCCAAGTTTCCAGAATGGTGAGTGTCCCTTCCCTGGGACCCTTCCAGAATGAAGCTGACCTTCACATAACTCTGGGCCAAACTGGTCTAGATTTAATCCTGAGGCTCTCAAAGAATGAATGTGTAAGTTTTAGTCCAAGTTTGTCTGCCCTTCAGTCCTTAGGGAGAACTGGAGATTAGCTCCTCTTCACTTTCTCCTCAAGAATGATGCTGATTGGTTTTTATAGCATAGGGCAGACTGACTGATTTTTATAACACAGAAAAGTTCATTGATAGAACAAAACATTCCTAGGGAACTTTATGAGTTTAATAACAACTTTAAATGAAAACAGGTAGTCCTAAAGAAGAGACACAGCCGCAGTCCCCAGATGACTGACTGCCTCTCTCATCGTGATTTCTCTCCAGAACATCTTGGCATGCTGACCACTATTCTTGGAGATATGCTAACTGAGCCTCTGAAAAAGGAAGGCCTATAGCTAAGTATGGTCTAAGGGTGACAGGGAAAATGGAAAAAAATTATCATAGGTAGACATCTGCAGGGCAGATTGGGCCCCTGGCAGGACTTCTTCCCCTACTGTTTGGAATACATACTTAGCTCCAAAGAGTGCCACCTAGTCTCTTTCTATACCTAAACCTGGCCTATGCACCCACCCCTGGAAATAGTTGCAATTGCCTTTAACAGTCTGGCCCTTTCGAGGGAACAGTCACATATGGCTATCCAAACAGCAGTTTGGCTATCACCTGTGACTATCCAACAACTATGGACATCGAGTAATAATGAGAAGGCTGTATAGCTGGATATTCGAATCAAACAAACTGTCAGCCTAGAGCCCATCTTAAAAACTGTCTTTGCTTTCACAGGTGTAAGACGTTTTTATTCCTTCTGATTCTTATTACAAGAGATCTCTGTTAATTGACCTACAAAAAGTTCTGACTAGTCTATTTATAGTTACAAACTTAAAAACTGTAAAATAGTTATTGTAATTCAACTTGGCCAAATACATCTGAGTGCATTCTGGTCTATTAACAATTGTCTTATGTGTGCCTGTCTGTCTGTCTGTTCAGTTTGACTGGTTACAACATCTACAGGTGTTTTAGTAGAGTTCAACAATTTTTTTCTTATTATTGCCTCTTTGGTTTTTTAAATATTTATGTCTACAACTTAAGTTAGCTTATAGATAAGTGTCATTAGAGTTAAAGACATGCTTCCACTCAGGTTGCCAGCTGATCAAAATGATGTCAAGACTGGTTTTACAAATGCAATGAATATTGTTTGTGTATAATAACTTGGGAGTCTTTCATTGGTCAAGAATAATGTGTTCATAGGTCATCTAAAAATATGTCAAAAAATAAAAATAAAAAATTGTCAAGATAATTAAATAGGGACCCTTTAGGCTTGGGGAAAACTGCAAGATAGGTCTTCACTTGGTGAATAAAGGAGCACTTGCCTGGAAACATTTATTTCAGTCTTTATTCACTAATGGGAACCCAATAATTTCCATAGCCTTATGGGAGACACACTCCAATAAACATTGCTTACCATATTATGGTGATATGTTTATATTAGCTATCATTAAAAGGTTTTCTTTGGGTAAAACAATAAGGTTTTATTAAAAGATGCTCTTGGTACAAAACTAAATTAAGAGACAAAGGTTTCCATATAACTGTGACACTCATTATTGCTAATTTCACGGTGTACTAAATGTATTTATGCCTTCTGAATGTACAGCTCTTCTAAGATATAAAACCAGAATTGTTTGTGGTGATAACCTTTTTTTTTTTGGTACTAGGGATCAAACTCAAGACCTTGTGCTTGTGAGGCAGGCGGTGGCACCACTGACCTAAATCCCTGGCCCTGGTTATAACCTTTTTTTAAAGACTCAGATATCTGCTTTTCTCTTGTGCTCCAGCTGATAAGAGGTACATGTCAAGGGAGCATGAGATCACCAGTCAAATAATAGTTTTTTTAAAAAATTATGTGATTTGTATATTATATATGTCACTACACTTAGGGTTGCTCAGGCACTGAGCAGTCCAAACAATGTCACACACTAAAAATTAGGGGATAGACATTATAAACTTCTGAAGTACATTTATAGACCAGTCCATTCTCCTTAGGTGGCATCCTATTGAAGAATACCAAATTCGGTGAGAGTTTCTTTGTGTCATTTAATATCTTGTGATCAGATGGAGATGTTTGACTAAAAAGGGTATTCTAAGATGGAGATTTAATTACGTTGCAAAAATAGTGTCATTATGACTGTCATGCTAAAATACTACGTGTGGCTCTTGATCTCAAGTTTTCTCTGTGAAACTTTATAACTTTTGTTTGTTAACATACTGCAGGGATTCAACTACTAGAATAGCCATGGTTGATAAGAAATAACAGTCCTCTAGCTATACTTTATATTTCAAAGTGCTTGATATTCAGATGAGATTATAATAGTTAAGCTCACTGCTCCCTTTCCAATACTGATAGAACCAATCTTCAACAACTGAAGTTTGGAGACTAAAATTGGAAAGGTAACTGAGCTAAGAATACAGCCAATATTTTCCCCCTAGCTCTCCAAGGTCAATGACGTCCCAGGACATAAGGGAACCTATTCTATAGAATCCTACAACTTTGGTGAGTCACTCAACCTCCTGAGCAGGGAGATTACTGAACCAGAGGACAAGAATCAACAAATCAACAAATGTACAGTGCATCAAAAGAGCGTCACCAAGGAGGGAAATGTCTCCTACGCTTTCATAGAAAGCAGTAAGGTCAAGCAAGAGCGTGACACAACCGGACTGCTGACACTGACAGATGAGCTGAGAGGCTCTCTACATGGTTCCAAAAGTAATGCCTGAGGAGACTTAACTGACCTTGACAGACAGCAAGAGGTTAATTTTGATTAACACAGTTCTCACTTTAACTTGGTCTTAAGCACCCAGCAGAAAAGTATAACCAAAAGATGTATGAAAACAATACCATA